CGTTTCCGTGCTGTGTCCCGGCCTGAAGCCCGACTGGTATGGGTCTAGATAGACTGCTTCATCCAGGTGCCGAGGGAACTGCCGTGCAACCACACTCTCAACAACCTTCGCCGCAAAGCGAAGGTTGGAGACTGGACGATAATTTGCCAGCTCATCTGGGTCCAGGGAAGGCTTCTTGAGGAGGGGCCTCACAACGGCCGATTAAAGCACTAGCCTTTAATCGGCCTCAAAGAATATGTCTGTAACCTACATAAAAATCTTTAAATTTATTTGAAGAATTTTATTTAGCTGTGTGGTAAAAGAAGAAGATAAATGGAAGCTGGGAACATCCTAGCAAGGAAGCAGGATGGTGATAAGTAATCTCACTAATTTATCTGTTGGTGAATATTTTGTGATTTGTTTCATGCACAATGGCAGCCTTTTTTGTCAATGTGCAAGCTGCCATAGCAGCCATCTTGTATCATGTTACAAATATGCATACTGTAATAGTCCTGATCTAACTTCTCCCTCTTATGCAGTTAGCAGAATGGACACACATAAATTAGTACTGGGAATACTGTTAAGACTCAGCCATGCCAATTAAATGTTATACCTTTCTTAGCAAGGGACATGAAAACATGGGCAACCACAACTGTAAAAAATAGTATTTTATTATACTTTTAAGGGTAGTTTCTAATCAAGAACAAAAGTTATTTTGGAATTTTTTCAATTTCAATTTAATCAGAGATATTTTGATCATAGACTGAGATAAAATTTAAATGCTTTATCACAGTACAATTTGATTAATATCATGTTTGGATTAAAACAGGAATTGGTTCTCAATTTTCAGGGCAGAGATACTCTAAAACATTAATATAAAATATTGTCTCTGTAACTTTGTCTGTCTGTCTGTCTATCTGTCTCTCTCTCACACACACACACATACACATCAAACATGTATGAATACACACAAGATGTTCATTAAGGCTAAGATTGGACAATAAATATATCATATTTTTAAATAACTGCATCTTAACTATTAATTTGTCAACTTCATAAAATTGAATGTTTCCTTTATCGGTTAAATGTTTCCATTGGAAATCAAACCATCACAATTAAAACCATAGTTTTTAGTGAGAGGATGAGTTGTGTTGTTATGCATAATTTCTAAATCTGAGCTTTTACATTTGACATTGCAATTCCTTCTCATTCCACCTTCATTTTTAATCAGTATATCTTCCTTACAGCAGTCAACTACAAAAAAAGTAACTTTTTTCTTAGTCTCTCCAGGAAAAAGTATGAGTGGCTTCCAGCAGCACTTCTATCTTTGTGTCCCCTGCCCAAAGCACATGATTAATTATGTGCAATCAATCCCTCTCAAATTAGTTTGTGAATTTGGGATGAGATTTCCTAGATTAAAAAAAACAGCTAAATTTTATAAACCAATAATCAACTTAATTGATTGTTCTCAAAAAAATAAAATCTTTAATTTGCTTAAAGGAGTTTCTAATGAATGTTACATTTTAATATTGCGTTCAAATTCAAAATCCTAATAAAAATAAAATAAAAAATCACAATTTCATTATGCAATGTATAAATTTTTAAATGCTTGTTGATAATTATTATTATCAGTTCACAACAATGTAAAGTCAGTTTTTTAGCTGGTATTGGCCTTTTTGCTCACCAAGTTCTTCCCAAGCACCTGGGATGTAGTAATGTATTGGCATAGATCAGTGGTGGCGAACCTATGGCACGGGTGCCAGAGGTGGCACTCAGAGCCCTCTCTGTGGGCACGTGCGCCATCGTCCCAGTCCTAGGCCTTCAACTGGGTTTTATAAAACCTTTTCACTTTAGGCTTTCGCCGCCGTGTGCAAAAAAAAAAGTTCAATCAGTCAATTTCAACTTCTCCGGGGGGGGGGGGGGAAGATCTTACAAAGTTGGAATTGATTGATTGAACTTTTTAGTCCCCCCCTCCAGTCTGCTGTTACCACCGCAGCCACGCCTACCCAATTGGCCACGCCTAGCCAATGGGCCACACCCACCCGGCACCTGGGTTTTGGGTTGCAGTTTGGACACTCGGTCTCTAAAAGGTTCACCATCACTGGCATAGATAGTATACATGCAGATACAAGCAGTGCAGCGTTTTGCAATTGACACATGAAAATTTTGTAAATGTGCAGATTTTGAAGTACTGTTCAAAACTTTTGGTGTGGCACCCACTATATAATATTGTTGCTATTATTTGTTAGTCACATAATCACCCAGATGCTTAGGCTGCACCTGGTATTTTTATCCACCTATCACTATGGCTGATCGCAGTCAGCCAGATGTTTAGACTGGATCACTATGTGGATAATGATGACTTTTATTATGAACATGGCACTAGCTGAAAGATTTAGGGTGATTTTCGGGCTCAGTGGCAGTTATCACACATGTAAAAGCTGTAAATTGTTTCCAAAATAGAGCATTGCGTGTACCTACAGCTACATTCACTTTCTTTAACGGGTTCTGGCATCGCATTCCACCTGCATTTTGTAGTCAGGGCAGATTATAAGAGAGCGTGAAGGAGAAGCTTAAACAAACAGCCAAGAGAAGTGAGAGCATCTTTTGATTGGCTTAAAATAAAATAATTTCCCCCTCTATTAAGTCTCTGATTCGTCAGCATACGCTGTCCGTAAATTAGCGCCAAGCAATCACCGCCCGCGCTCCTTGCTTCAGCGGAGGCAGGGCCGAATAAGAGGATCCAGCCTTGTGGTATTGCGTGCTCTGCTATTGCCGTGTCGGTGCGCTGTAGCGCAGCAGGAAGGAGGCGGGGACGCCGATACCGGAACCGCTCCTGCCGCTGGAAGAGTGAGCGGAGCCTGCTAGGCGGAGCACACGCGGGAGCGGCAGTGGCAGCATTGTCGCGGCGGGCGGTTCCCTTCGCTGCTGCAGCAGAGGGCGGCGCTGGTGCTGCTGGTCGGACGCGCCTGAGAGCCGGCCCCGATCTGAGCCCTAGCTGTCGCAGCCAGACCTCGACTAGGAGGTTTGCCGTGGGAAGTTCAGTATGGGGCTGAGCACGGCAACCACCGTAATGGTGTTGCCTTCAACGAGCCTCACTTTCTCCGAAGAGAGAGGGCTCCCTCGGGGCTGAGACGGCCTCTTTTCCTTTGCCTGTTTCGCCCTCGAGTGCGTCTTTCCGGCGTTCCTTTTCAGTTCTCTTCTCCCGACTCGGGCCGGACGCGTTCCTGGCCCGCCGCCGCAGAGAAGAGGCGACTTCGCCACCGCTGGAAGATGGCGTGGGTCCTGAAGATGGACGAAGTAATCGAGTCCGGTCTGGCTCACGACTTCGATGCCAGCCTCTCCGGCATTGGGCAAGAGCTGGGCGCCGGCGCCTACAGCATGAGGTGGGTGTCCCGGCGGAAGGGACCGGGAAGCTCCTTTTGCCCGGTTTCTTCGCGCTATTGATGAGGAAGAAGAGCTCGCCGGCAGTGCTTCTATTTCGGCGGAAAGGGCTTCCTGGTTATAGTTTAGCTCTTCTGTTATGCCGAGGTATTTGCTTAATTTTTTGCTCACCGCGGGGGGAAACCGGCGTATAGCCTGCGGGAAGGAGCTGCTGGCTTGGCAGGCTCCTTTACTCATCCTCGGGAGCTCCTCCCTATTGTGATTGGCTACCCTGCTTTCGGGAACCGGTAGCCAAATCGCGCTCCTTTCGTCCACGAAATCAGTGATCGATAGTGGTTAAGAGGGTAACTTTTAAAGTAAGGCACTTACCGGCCTTAATCTTCGAAGCCACATTGGTCCTTTCGGTGGAGGAGCCCGAGTCCAGATAATTCCAGAAGCAAGGCTGCTAGTTGGAATCCTTTACCATTTCTGTCAGATAACTCTTTTATGGTATTTTAAACACATACTGTTGCCTTTTTTTTCTTTTTGTACCTTCTCTTTCATTATCTTTTGTAATTGTCATTTTTTTTACTTACGTAAAAATTTGTGTACAAAAAATATTTTAGAAATGTGGTATATTCTGATTTGTTTTGACCAAATGAGGTGAGCCTGAAATATATGTTTACAAACTTTTTCTGGGCGTTTTCTGGGTATAAGAAATGCAGGTAGTTTTGAGCTTAAAACCATTTAACAATGATTCAAAGTTACTATGGCCTCAAAAAAGTACCTTCTGACCTATACTTGNTGTGTACAAAAAATATTTTAGAAATGTGGTATATTCTGATTTGTTTTGACCAAATGAGGTGAGCCTGAAATATATGTTTACAAACTTTTTCTGGGCGTTTTCTGGGTATAAGAAATGCAGGTAGTTTTGAGCTTAAAACCATTTAACAATGATTCAAAGTTACTATGGCCTCAAAAAAGTACCTTCTGACCTATACTTGGACTTATGACAGTTACTGCCTCCAAAGTTGTGTTATTGCAGTTTAGGCACTTGGCAGCTGGCTTCAGGTGTTGCAGAAACCTGTGGTTACATGTTCACAACTTGTGATTTTTTTTGCCTCATTCATTGGAGAAGTTGGATTTGCTTAACCCATGTGATCTGCTTAATAACCATAATAAAATTGTGTATGGTCACATTCATTTTATGATGAAAATTCTGGTCCCAATTACGGTCATAAGTTAAGGACTATTGTAGATAATTGCAGGGTTATGATATATGTAAATTAAGAAATGACATATGAAACAAATATCAACTATTTATGGTTTGGTACCTAGGTACTTGCAGAATTATTTTATCCAACTAGAAAGTCCTGATAGTTCCCCATTTTCATGAAGTGACAGAGGTTGAAATTAAGACATCTAAATCAGGGATGTCAAACTCACAACGTGATGTGTTGCAATGTATCACGGCTTTTTTTCCATTGCCGGCAATGGGGTGGGCATGGTTTTGGCATGATGCATCCGGCCCGTGGACTGGCAGTTTGACACCTCTGATCTAAATCCACCAACTCCTTGCAGCCTCTGCCCCTAAAGATGATATTACATGAAGTATTCATAAGCTTTTGTTGCTCTTTATGTGTACAGTATTAATGGTACATGAAAGTAACTGGAACTAACTGGAATCTAGTTCATTTTCTTTCTTTGGCAAGTAAGACATTTTATATAAATGCCTGTCCTTCTGAAATTCTTTAATAGCAGAAAAATCCAAAATGAAATTTTTCCATTAAAAAAAATGGAATGCTTATGCTGGAATTCACTGAATGGAATGAGTTTTGAACTAGTACAGGTGGTCTTCAACTTACAACCATTATTTTAATGACTGATCAAAGTTACAGTGACACAGAAAAGGACTTATGACCGTTTTTCATATTTACAGCCATTGCAGCATCCCATGGTCATGTGATCAAAATATGAACTCAAAGACTTTCTGTAGCCCACAAATGCCAAATTCCTACCACTAGCTTCCCTACGTTTAGGCTTAAGGAGTTTTCAGTCAGAAGATAATCAAAATAAAACAACTGTAGAAGAATAGCTACAGAACAACAAGAGTTCGATTTAGAATCATCTACAGGTAGTTCTAGACTTGTAACCAGAAGTGAGTCCAAAATCAGATAATTGGCAACTGGTTCATATTGATGACTGTAGCAATGTCCTTGGGTCACGTGATCACTTTTTATGACCTTACAAGCAAAGTCAGTAGGGAAGCCAGATTCACTTTACAACCATGTTACTAACTTAAAAACTGCAGTGATTCACTTAACAATTGTGGCAAGAAAGGTTGTAAAATAGCACAAAACTCACTTTAACAACTTTCTCGTTATCTACATTCTGAGGCTTCTATCTTTACTGGATAAATATTCAAGACTTGTTTGGAAATGTTTGCCTTGATTATAAAATGTATAATTCATATTCTCAAGTAAAATGGCATAAATTGCATATCATGCTAATGCAATATTTGGTTTTACTTTTTAGTTATTCTTACCAATTGTTACAAGCTCAGTGACTATCATTGAGAACCATGATTTAGTATAGTTTTAAGATATAGTATTAAGATAGCTATTATGGTTTATTCAATAAATCACATTTAAATAAGACATGATTTATTATCTATAAATTGGATTGGTCACTCAATCTTATATGTCAAATTATGTACTGTAAATAATAAATCTTATATTGTGCAACCAGTAGTATAAGTTTAGGTATGATCAGAAAATTACTATTGCATATATATACCAGATTTTCCAAAATATTTATATTTTATAAAGGGAGGGAGTAATCTGGATTATATGTCTTTTTTTCCCATTCTAGTGATGTTCTGGCACTTCCTATTTTCAAGCAAGAAGACTCTAGCCTTCCACCTGATAACGACACAAAACATCCACCATTTCAATATGTTATGTCTGCTGCAACTTCCCCAGCAATCAAACTGCATGATGAAACACTTACTTATTTAAATCAAGGTAAGCATTTATCTTTTGTGTGAAGGGGAAGGGGATACATAACACACTCACATACACACATTGTATATTACAATATATATGCAGGTAGTCCTTTAGTTATGACCATAACGGAGCCCGTTCATTACAGTTGTAACTCGTGATGGTCATAATAGGGCCAGTTTTGCCAAAAACCAGAAGTAAACATCAGGTTTCAGCAAAACCATTGTAAATGGGGATACTGAACTGACTCTAAATGTGGTTCAATTCCTAAGTGTATGAATTCTCAAACTGAAAAACACAGAATACTGCAATAAGATTAGCAGACTTAATTCAATTTTTTCTCTTTAGATTGATTTAAAAAGAAATATATATATATTAAAAATGCTTATGTATGTCACTATAATACATAATGAATAACAACTATTAGAAAATGTAGTTTTCCTGATTTGTTCAAAGTTGCTTTATTTGCTTGAATAACTATTATCACAAACTGTGAGACCACCAGGAGATAAAAACTATAACAAGTTTATTTACAATTAAAACACCTAGCTTTCGCCGGCCTCCTGCCGGCTTCATCAGGGTGGCTAACCATCAGTGGGTGGCTGTTTTTATGGGAGTGGTGCCTTTTGCACCCGACTCCTCGATCTCATGACCGGGCCCAGATAGTCCTCCTGCTTTGCATTTTTAACCGTTCTTTTGCGAGTTGTTGCGTTCCTGGTTCTCTCTTTCCCACCTCCTCTCTTTCCCTGTCCTATTTGTTCATCGGGAGGGGGCGGCACCCCTTCATTTAGGACCTCATTTTGCTGTTCATTAACCTTTTTCCTTTCCCTGACCACTTGCAATCCCACCTTGCTTCCCTCCTCCTCCTCCTTCCCCGTAGCGCTGTCTGGCTTCTCTCTCACCCGTGTTCGCACTATTCTCACTACTCCTTCATTCTCATCCTCCAGCCATCTCCTCTCTTCCTTTTCTCTCCCCTTCACGCCGCCATTCAATCCTGCCTCCCTAAGTATATGTGTACCCATTACTCTTCCCCTCGCATTTCTCCGGTGCCGGGCCGTCGGGGACACAAGCTGCGCCTCCCCATTTGTTCTTACTGCCTCGCCGTTAGCAATATCCCTTCCCTCATGCTCACACCCTTCCTTTTCCTTTTTGTGAGTCCTTGATGCGGGGGTATCCTCTCTATCATATCCATGCTCCTGCCGCTCATTCTCCCCACTCTCCATCCCCGTGACGAATCTTCCACTGTCCCCCCTTCCTTTACATTCTCCCCTCTCCTCTTCCTTTCCCGTCAGAGGCAGTAACTGTCATAAGTCCAAGTATAGGTCAGAAGGTACTTTTTTGAGGCCATAGTAACTTTGAATCATTGTTAAATGGTTTTAAGCTCAAAACTACCTGCATTTCTTATACCCAGAAAACGCCCAGAAAAAGTTTGTAAACATATATTTCAGGCTCACCTCATTTGGTCAAAACAAATCAGAATATACCACATTTCTAAAATATTTTTTGTACACA